ATATATATATCAATCATAGGACATACACTTTAGATCTGTGCACTTTTAGCTGGGCACAGTGGTGAAACATATGGTGCCAGGCACCTGGAAAACCGACGCAGAAGGGACACCTGAGGCCAGGAGTTGGAGGCCAGCTTTGGCAACATAGTGAAACTGACTTAAAGGGGGGAAAATTTTGTATAATTTATCCTTTTTTTTTTGAGACAGGGTCTTACGCTGTAGTCCGGGCTGTCCTCGAACTCTTGCCTCAGCCTCCTGTGTGCTGAGATTATAGGCGTGCACCACCACGCGGGCTCCATTTTCTCTTTTCCTTTTAAAGGTCAGCTCTGCCAGTGCTTAATTTGTCTCCTAGACATATTTGATTGCAAGAGCCAGTTCTAGGCAGTTCTTAGCTTCCTAGGTCAATGTCAGATTTCAGGACAGCTTTTGGCTTTCTGATGCTCCACTGCCGACATTGGCTACCCGTTCACCACAGAGACCTGCGGGGCTGATGGAGGTGGGAGATTGGGCCCACAGAGGGACATATCAGCTGTTCTTTCTTGAAGACACCATTGAGCTCTAAATCATGGGACAGGATGAAGCTGTGTTCATAGGTGTCCATCCTATCTTCTTTCCCAATTTAGACAATATATATTCACATTTAGATGAGGAGAGCACTGAGTCCTTCACGTATACTGCAGCAGTTCCCAGGGAGCGGTCCCGGCCACGGCCCAAGGTCTTCCTGTGTTATTCCAGTAAAGATGGCCAGAACCACATCAATGTCGTCCAGTGCTTTGCTTACTTCCTCCAGGACTTCTGCGGCTGTGAGGTACAGAATTTAGAGTCTCTTTCCCTGGGCAGTGATGCCTATTCTCTCCTGGCTGTTTTCTCTTTCAAGGGCTGCTTCTGTGACCCCTGGCTTTGATCAGTGCCAGTTTCCAAACTGGGGAGGGTCTTGTACTCTTCTTCAGCCTGTCCTATGATCCCAAGCACTAAATGTTTTATAACTTGGTTCTGAATTGCGACATAGTCCTGTGATCAAAAACCTTGATTGTGTACCCACATGGCAGGAGGTTTTGTGAGTATTAAAAAATAAAAACAGTGGGTGTCTGCCTTGAGAACATGTAAACCAGGGTGCTGGTTGGGGTGTCACTGTAGTTATCCTGGTAGGCATGTGCAGGTAGAAGCCCCAGTGGAAAGTTAGAGACAGAGTGGCAGGTGACAACCCTTTGAGGGGATTTACTGAGAAGGGGAATGGAGGATGATCCTTGTCCTGGAAGAACTCTGGGGGACCAGGAGTAAATAACAGAGAGACCTATGAAGTTGTTAGGCCATTGACGGGTATGAAGTCATGGAAAGTGACAAACCAGTGGTGTAGAAGGCAGTAGCACAGGACAAGCAGGGGGTAAGAAGGGATGACTCCAGAGAACAGTGTGTCAAGTGCTTGAATGTCTGCTCTGGCTTTTTAGCCATTCTTAAATTTGCTGTTCACGTGTAGCTTTTCTGTCATGTCGTATTGTTAATTTTTAGAGTGAAGTCTGAAGCTATGGTGGAAGGCATAGCAGTTCCTTACAAATATAATAGTTATATAATTATGTAGTTGGGTGATATTTGTTCTTTTTTTATCAGTACATGTTGGCAGTACATAATGTTTACACTCCTTGGGTGGATGGAGTTGGTACATGCACATAACCCATCTTAATTCCTTTCCTCATCCCCTTTTCCTCTTGTTATTTGTATGGGTTCTCAGACTCTCTCCATGTGCTAAGACTGCCCTCTGGTGTCAGTAAAAAGCATGAGGGCAGATCGTGTGCTGTGCCTGAGCTTGGCGGCAGCTCAGCGCCTGCTGGAAAACAGCGGCAAACTCTAGCGAGGGTGCATGCTGTCTGCAGATACCACAGACACATTTGGTGTGTTTCTTCCCAGTCCTTTTCTGCATAAATGAAATCACACATACAAATACTTGTTTTGGGCAGACTGGAATGATTTATTTTTATTAATGATTTTCTACACTATTAGCGGTTCTAGGCTAATGCCATTTTAAATAGCAACATGATCCATAATATTGACTTGTCCTGAGTTAGTCCAAATTACTAAATTATCGGTAGTTCAGTATTGCCCCATTTCTGATGATTTCCCATGGATAAATGCCTGGAAATGGAATTGCTGGGTCAAGATAGGAATATTTTTTAAATGCTTGGTGTATTCTCCCGATTAACTTAAGCTTGTACACTGTTAGCAGTAACTAAGGAAATAGACAAGTCAAGCTTATTTTCAGCAAGTGGTTGGATGTCAGGGCATTTTTTCCTTTGGAAACATCTTGGAGCCGAAGAGGAAACAAAATGGTTTCAGGATCCCTTTCCCCTGTGAGGCTGTGACGCCACGGAGGAGATGCTGGTCATTCTGCAGTGTTAAGCAGAAGAGCTGTGTTACAACAAGTCACTGCCCTCTTCTCCAGCATTGGCCAGCTCACAAACAGTGTGGCTAACCCCAGGTCTGTGAGAGTCCAGAGAGGTCCGCTTTGTCAGGCACACTCTGGGTGTGAGTCACCTAGCATTGTGGGGGACTCGGTGTCCAGACCTGGGGTCGTTCGTCTGTGTCCTCAGAGTCTGCCAGCCTTCCTTCCAGAACCTGCTGCTTGTATCTGGCTGCCTTATCCACGGTACGCAGCAGTCCCAGGTCCTTCCTATTCTGTGTTCTCCACTACACTGTGGGTTCCTTGAGGGCTTCCTCTGTGGTAACTTCGACAAGTGGCTAAACGTTCTGTGCTGCTGTCTTCACTTATAGGACAGCATAGTAGTGACCCTGCATGATGCTAAAATGAGCCGATGGATGGCAAGCCTTTGCAGAGGGTCTGGTGTGTTACCCTCACCACAGAAACGTAGCTGTCCCTCCACACACTACTGGGTAACCCAGAGCCGGCACACTATGCATATAATGGTTAAAGGACAGGTGATATGACCTCCTGTGATATTCATTCAGTCTTCCTACCCCATTCATATTCCTGAGTGTAGTGCTGATGAGAAGATGTCTCGTTTTCTATCAGGTGGCTCTGGATCTGTGGGAAGACTTCAGTCTCTGCAGAGAAGGGCAAACAGAATGGGTCATCCAGAAGATCCATGAGTCCCAGTTCATCATTGTAGTTTGTTCCAAAGGCATGAAATACTTGGTGGACAAGAAGAACTACAAACACAGAGGAGGCGGCCGAGGTTCAGGGAAAGGCGAGCTCTTCCTGGTGGCAGTATCGGCCATTGCTGAAAAGCTCCGCCAAGCCAAGCAGAGTTCATCTGCAGCACTCAGCAAGTTCATCGCTGTCTACTTTGATTATTCCTGCGAGGGAGATGTGCCCTGCGTTCTGGACCTCAGCACCAAATACAAACTTATGGACAACCTTCCCCAGCTCTGTTCCCACCTACACTCGGGAGACTATAATTTCCAGGAGCCTGGGCAGCACCCAGGACCTGGAAGCAGAAGGAACTACTTCCGGAGCAAGTCGGGGCGCTCTCTGTATGTTGCCATATGTAACATGCACCAGTTTATCGACGAGGAACCTGATTGGTTTGAAAAGCAGTTTGTACCCTTTCATCCTCCTGCCCTGCACTACCGAGAGCCAGTCCTGGAGAAGTTTGACTCAGGCTTAGTTTTAAATGATGTCATTGGCAAACCTGGGCCAGAGGGTGATTTCTGCCTAAAGCCTGAGGCTGCTGTTCTAGGGGCCACAGTGCCTGCAGACTCACACCCACAGCCAGAGAATCCATGTGGGGCCTTGGACCGGGATGCTGAGGTCCCGACACCCCATGATGGGGTTTCCACCCTTCAGCCCCTGCTACTTGCAGTGAAAGCTGGCGGCCCTTCGGACATGCCAAGGGACTCGGGCATCTACGATTCCTCCGTGCCCTCCTCTGAGCTCTCTCTGCCTCTGATGGAGGGACTCTCAGCTGACCAGACAGAAACGTCATCCCTAACGGAGAGCGTGTCCTCCTCCTCAGGCCTGGGTAAGGTGCTCTCGGGTCAGATTCCTGATGTACTCTTTACACTTCTACAATCTGTCAGAGCATTTTCTTGAACTTCGATGCCAACTTGCTGGAGAGTGAAAATTGATGAGAAGAAATATCACTCGTTTGATAGTCTTAGTGTACCCCGGATAACAGAATATTCAGGTGTTTGTGCTGCAGCAATACTAATGCTACTTTATGGTGAATTGCCCAGCCTGGCCAGGGGTGTTCTATAGCATACAGAATGTGTACTATATGGTCTTTCTGAACGCCAAAAATATTGAACTACCAAAACACATTTGGCTGTAAAGAGGTATGTCTATATTGAGACCGGTAGTGTTCACCCTCTCCTTGTTTTAGGGCCAGGATTTAGCTCAGTGGTTCCACTACCTGCCTCACAAGCACAAGGTCCCGAGATTGAGCCCTGGACCACCACCCCCACCCCACCCCCCAAAAAAGAAAAAGCAACATCTACTGAGCCTGAAGTTCATGGGTACAATAATTTCTTCTTCCTTGCTCAGCACAAGCCCATACAGAAGGGCTACACCAGCATGGTGGTGGATGCCTATAATTCTAGAACTTGGGAGGCTGAGGCAGGAGGATTGCTGTGAGTTCAAGGCCAGCCTGGGCTATACAGCGAGACCCTGTTTCAAAAAAGGAAAAGCCTCTGTAGCAGAAACCACTTCCCGAGAGAGCCCCCGCAGCCTGTTGTCTCAGGCCATTCTTCCCATGCCTGTGACTGCTGGGGTCATACATGCATGCAGCCCCTGGACTCTGCGGGAAGATGGCAACTGGAGCCTGTTAAGAGCACGGGCATGTCACATCGTGAGTGGGCTTGGGAGGTTCAGATGCAGCCCTCTGGCGCTAGTGTCTGCCCAGTGAAATTCAGTGATCGTGTGGCTCTGTCCTGTCTTCTCTCTGTAGGTGAGGAGGATCCTCCTGCCCTTCCACCCAAGCTCCTTGCCTCTGGAGTATGGAAAGCGGAACTTGGTTGCCACAGCTACACTGACGAGCTCCATGCCGTCGCCCTCTTGTAACAAAATGGAAGAGCCTAAGCATTGCCACTTTAGCTGCCGCCTCTGGTTCTCCAGCTCATCTCTGTGGTTGCATCACCTCCTTGGAGCTGAGTACTCATACCAGGATGTTTTCAGTGAAGATTTGGCCAGTACTCAGTCCCCTGGCCCCAGCTATCTTGGTGAAGTCGCCATTTCTCTAAGACCATACACAGAGCTCCAAAGGGCCTGTCTGTGGGGGCCAACAGCAACTTGCTCTGTTAGGTCTCTCTTTGCATCAGACCCTGTTCTGGCAGGTAGGAGGAAACAGAAATAGGAAAATACCTGCCCTGACCATTCCGACTTCAATGAGTTCTGTGTATTTTGCCTGTGTAGTGTTTGCTACTTTGGTATGGAATGCTGTGTGGAAAAAACTTAAATGTCATTATAGCCACAGAAATCAAGTGCCAGTCTCGCCGGAATCCATGCCGTATTACAGATGATATTCCTGTCTGGTTTCAGTGCGGAGTATTAGATAAGCTTTGAGCGAAAGGTCAGGAGAGTGACTGATCATTCAATATACCTTTCTAAAAAAATGTCCCTATGTGTTACAGGGCAACTTGGCTGGCCGAGGTGGGGGTCCCAGCCCTGCGATGATGTCAGATCTCGACCTTACCATCTCGGCTTTCCCCTGGTCTGAGTGGGTTACAGTTACCGTGCTGTGGCTCATAGGGTGGTGTCTGGAAGTTTGTTTTAAGTGACTCTTTCTGAGCAGGGCCACTTTATTGGAAGTTGCAGTCTGTGCTTCAGTTGCCTTGTCCAAAGCCGTGTCCTGAATATTAGAGATCAGAATTCACTGAAATGCAGCAGTGTATGGAGGTGGTGGCCAGTAATCTGCTGGGACTGGTTTTGACTGATGACAGGCCTCTTTTTAAGAAGGTAGGAAGGACTGAACTGTCATAAAAGCAAATGTCCTATTTTTATGAATGACTTTTTATAAAAAACAAATTTGTTTCGAAAGGGAAAGCATTTGTTCATATTCCACTTGTTTAACGTGTGCAGTGGTGCCTTAGTCTCCTTTGTGGAAGCACAGGGCCTCCCTATGCTGTGGAGCACGCACGAGTATCTTTCTCCACCCTTTTTCATGGGTGCTTTCGGGATTTGACTGCCTGTTTTCTCAGCAGTCAGCCCAGGGACTAGAGCTTTCACTCTTTCATCAGTTAGGACCAGCGTGGTGGGAGATGCCAAGAAACATCCCAAGGTGGGGAGGGAGGTGGGTGGGCTGGACTTTTCCTCCCGAGCACATGCTGAGCAGGTGGAAAAGGGGAAAACCTGCACTCTTGCTGGAAAGAAGAGGTTTTGTGTGTATTTTGGCTGCAGATGCCCCACTCCCTGTTCTGTAAAGGCAGCTGGCCGCCTTTTGGGAGAAGAACGTGCTCGTCTGTTCTCCGGCATCAAATTTCCTGCAGCTGCTCTGAAGGAGCAGCAGTGAGCTGGAAGCCTGTCTCCCCCTAAAACCAGGCATGTTGGTAGAGGAAAGAGTTCCCATGTTGTCACCACGCTGTCTATGACAACTGCACAGCTCCTTTGGGTCCATCCTCAGTGTGCATTCTGTGGGAGACATTGATGGGTCTGAACTTGCTAACTTACAAAACTCACTTGGAATAAGATTTCTCACTGAGTCCAAGAGATGTTTTTGTGCCCCCAGAGGAACCAGTGGGAGCTGCTTTTGGTTGTAGATAATCATCTTTTCATGTGAAATGAGACATCTCTGAGAAAGTGTCTCCAGAGACAGCCTGCAGGACTGGGGGAAGGAGCACCAACTGGGCCCCAAGGGTGTGGGCAGAGGGGCTTGCTTCACGGGTTCCCTTGGGAGGAAAAAGGCGGGGACAGAGTGCTAAAGGGGATTTTAAGTTTGGGTTTAGGGCTTGGATTCTTATTTTGAAACATGAGTGTGTCTGATCAACAAACTCAAACTCTTAAAAGATCAGATGCTCAAAGTGCGGTATGATTGCCTAACTCAATACATTATGTGTTAAATCTCACTTCCTACTTTTGCTTCATTAGTTTTGCTATTTTTCCCACCCTCCCCATTGTGCTGGGAGTAGGAAGAGTTGTCTTGGAGATGAAGGCTAAACATCCGTTCCAAGCAGATTCCATATTTTCACTCCGAAAATGTCACAGACAGTGGAAATGATAAGATGGAATCCAGAAAAAGATTCTGGTTTCTGGATGTTGGGAAGCAGCAATTAGGTTATAGCAGTGATTTCACTGACAGGCCTCGATCTGAGAGTAAACGTGGATAAGTGTGATGATGTCCTCTGAAAAGGAAACCAGGGCTCTAGAAAACCAAGGCTGACAGCCAGGCGCTAGTTTTTCACCATAATTCATCGATATTTCCGGGAAAGGATTTAGTATCTGATGCTGTCAGCTTTATTGGGAGAGTGACTGTGGAAGTTAAAGCCCGCATGAGCGTGTGCTGTGCTCCGATAAGTTGACTGTAAGTAACAGACTTCCTCGGGGGGCCTGCCCAGCCACATGGGAAGCAGGAGCTTGCTGTCCAGCGGTCTGGGACTGGGCCTCGTAAGCACATGGATCTCCAGAAAGAGTAACAAATCCTTCTAGTTCACGCCCAGGTATTTGGCTTCAGACTCCACTAGGTAATAACAGTATTTTGAGTCACAAATGAGACTGGCTAAAATGGGAGTTCTGTTGACATGTTGTTGGTATTAACTGAAGACATTCCCAGATCAGATATTCAAAAAAATGTCTTTAGCAATGAGCTGTCGTTGGAATAAGTGTATAGTAAGTTACAGATATTTAAGTTCATATATGTTTGTCAAAGTTTGGTCTTGCTATTCCAACAAACGCAGTTTTTTGGCTTTGTTTTTTACTGTCCCATACTCTTGGGTCCCCTGATTTATGTGCAACTAAACACAATGTATTAGAACATTCCTCAGAGCCACATGATTTTGAGGGTTTTATTTTCTTGCGTTTGAATATTTCTTTCCTTTAAAAGAAACAGAAAGGGGGAAAAAGCTATTTTATTCTTGATGAAGAAATGACACAACTTCCTCCTAAAAGACAGAAAATCCTGCAGCCCCTGGCACTATAACCTTCTCAAAAAGAAAGCAATCACACTGTCTTTATGGGAGAGGCAGGCAGTGCCAGTGTGAAGAACACTAGGTTTTTCTGCTGCTCTGTTTAGCATATCCTGTGCCTTCAGGGGCCGCCAAGTGTAAGGCAAACAGCTGTGTGGTGACAGATGGTGGCAGCCTTCCTCCTCCTCATCATCAGGGACGCCAGGCACCGTGAGCCCACGGCAGACCCAAGAGTGTCTGTGCATCTTACAGGTGGCAGCTGCTACAGTCAGAGAGGCCAAACATTTCCTGATATTGTTGTTTCTCAAGAGAAGCTGAAAACTTTTTATTTTTATTTTATTTTATTTTATTTTATATTGGCAACTAAAATTTAAAAGTATTTAAAGTGAATTCAGGACCAACAGAACACATGGATGGACCTAATTTGGCCCATTGGCTGCCAGTTTGTGACTTGTGCTTTAAAAGATTAGAAGTCAGGGCTGGGGATTGAGCTCAGTGGTTCCGCCACCTGCCTCACAAACACAAGGTCCTGAGTTCGATCCCTGGTTCCAAGAAAAGAAAAATTTGAAGTCAGAGCCAACCTACAGTAGTTATAATTGTTGGCTGCCATCAGGAAATGCTGCTGCTAAATACAGCCAGTAGCTGAATTCTTTTCTTTTATCTCTCCTTCAAAGAAATTTCACGGGATTCTGAAATGCATTTGGAAGGTTTTGATTGCTTCCCTTAACATTTTGCAATGTCTTTTTAAAATTTTTAAAATTATTAGTACATGTTTGTAATACATAAAGTTATGTGCCAATTTCTAAGTCAGATTTATATTCTCCCAATATAAAAAATATAATGCTTAGAATAATTTCATTTAAACACTGCAGCCTAGGGCTGGGGATTTGGGTCAGTGGTTCCAGCACCTGCCTCGCAAGCGCAAAGACCCAAGTTCGATCCCTGGTACCCCCTCAAAAAAAACCTCTACAACCTGTAGTCTAGGGCCTTATTTATTGGTTAGCTCTCAACGTAGTTGTTTTTTTTTTTTTAGATGGTTTATAATTTTGAGCTTAGGCCAAGATCTGTTTAAGAAGAGAGACATTTTAGAAAATAAGGCAAAAAATATAGTTCTACTCGGCTCAGGAATTTACATTATCTTCTGTTTTGAATGATCTGTGAGTTGTGTTTTAGGGCTGTGAGGCAGTAGACACGAAACTTTTTCTGGTGCTGAGGTATCAGGAGTCCAGGTGGGTGTTGGGTCACTCTTGCCTTAGCACCTGTCCAGGCCCAGGGTGAAAATAAATAACAGGAAGTCAGACTGTAAGCCAATAGCTCTGATCCTGATTTCAGAATATGGGGGCTAGCGTGTTCCTTTCTTGATGTCAAGAGCTGTGCCTGAAATTAGCCCAGACGTGTGGCTGTGGGTGAGAGTCTGGGTTTTTAGCGAAGGAGATTTTTGTAACCTACCCTGATTATCAGATAGTTCTATGTACATCTTTCTTCTAGAAATTCAAACCAGCTTTCTTTTGTTCAGGGTGTAGCGGAGAAAGAACAGCTGGTCACTTCCTGTGTATTTGAAAACCACGGTGAAGTCATCCCCCTGGAGTTTTTATTTCAGTGGTAAATAATCCCACCCACTTAACCTATCTTCACAGCTCTTATTTTCCAGGGGCTTAATAATTTTCACTGTCCTGCTGTTCCTCAGCTTCACAGCCGGTTTAGGTGTCCAAACAGAAACATTGGTGCCTTATGCACTTTGGTGCCTTGTGACTGCCAAGCTCAGGGTAGGATCACGGGGAGATTCCTGTGTGCCTGGCTTCTCTTACCAGGTGGGAACACGGTACTTCTTAAAGATGTTACATCCCTCAGAGTCCTTGTGAGAAGCCACATATTGCCTCCTTGGTGATTGTCCTCTGTCCTGTCTTGTGGTTCGTTTTCCCTCTGGAGAGCCAGCTCTTACTTGGTGCTCACTTCTGATGTGGTTAATGTCATTCGGAAGCTCCAGGTTACTCGAGACCGCCTCTTTCCTTCTGAGTGGCAGCTACCCGACCCTTCCAATTCCGGACTCTATGTCTACACATCTGGAGATTATATAAAGCTTTTGAGACTTGTGATATTGTTACTTGAGTTTAACCACCGGAGAGGTGACAGCAGCAGTTGCCAAGTGCCGCCTTCCCATTGCTGTTTGGCATCTAATTTGCATATTGTTTGGACCCCCGGTGAGGACGTTGGGCAGTTTTGGTCAGTTGTCTTCTCCCTTTGCTGCCCTTTGGTTCCTCCCCAAGCGTCGTCTGGGACCACAGACACCGCAAGAGCTTTCCGTGTTCTCAAGGGCCGGAGCTGTGGCTCTCAGTCAGCCGCGTGCTGCTTTTTCACAGCCGAGTCTGACAGCGCCGCATTCGCATCTGATGTTCACACCTGGTAAAATTGCAAAGAAGATTCCGAGGAGCAGCCCTCTTTGTGCGGGATGTAGTCAAAAGGAGCTGCTCCCACATTCAGGCAACAGATTTCCATCGGATGTCATTAATGTGTTTGTCTGTTATTAAAAAATTCTGTTGTTGTTGTTTTCTTTTTTCCTCCCAAGAAAAAAGCATGAGTCTGGACAGCAGCAGAAGTTTCTGTAAAAGCCAAATGTGTTCATTTCGAGAATAAGTAACTTAGGTTTTTCGCTATTGGAAGTTCCCTGTATTGCCCTCCTAGGAGGAAAGCCTGTGGAGCACACTGGTTATTGGTGTGTCATTGTTTTTGTTTCATCTTTAAATTTGTCCTCTGTGGGCTTGGGGAAGTAGTGAGCACTGACAGACTGTAGCAGTGCGCTGCATTTTGACGTTGGAAATGTTAGTAATGTGCGATTTGTGCATAACTCTGTAAATAGGTGACAGTAAGCCACAGCTGACATTTGCAAAATGTTTTTGTACTTTACAATTTCTGTATCAAATAAAATGTTTTAAGACTCTCATTGTTTGTTTTGTAAACATCTGTCCTATGTCCTACCTGGGGCTCTGGTGCAGTTGTCAGGGCTCAGCCTCAGGACGAGAAGAGGTGACCAGTACTTCTCCCCCTTTAGAGAAGGGAAGCGCTCTGCCCTGAGCCATTTACCGTGTCCTGCAGTGGGCAGTGGCCGTCACCTGTGTGGTGTCCAGAGGCCTCTGCAGTGCCGTGGTTACTTACAGATAGAAGAAATTTGATTCTCAGGGCCAGTGCACTTTACAGAAATTTACAAAAGAGAAATTTGGCCCCACACAAGTTAAAGTGATGTCTATTCATTCTGCCAGGCCTTCTCTCCCACCTTGTGTGTACTCCGTGCTCAGTAGGGTGCCTGTCAACTTCAGGGTCAGTTTCTAGACCCGCTACTGTGTCTGTGACCTGTGATTACAAGATACAGGTCCTCAGTTGCCCATCAGTAAAATGGGCCATGTGCTGTATTTCAGATTGTGCTGAATTAAACTACATAAAAGTGTAAAGAGTTGCTACAACAGCTGGGTGTAGTGGCACGTGCCTGTTATCTCAGCACCTGAGAGGCTGAGGCAGGGGGATTGCTGCAAATTTGAGGCCAGCCTAGGTGACAAGAGTGAATGAGTTCAAGGCCCAGCTTGGACTGCATAATGTGGCACTCACTGTTCAGAAAATGACAGGTATCCAGGAGAGAACCTCAAGGACACAGAATACAAGCCCTTCGGCTATTGTGCAAGAAGGGTGTCTTAAATTTTGTGTCTTAGGAACATAATAAGATTTTTTTTTTTCCTTTTGGTACTGGGATCAAACTTAGGACCTTGTGCTTGTGAGGCAGATGTGTTTGCCACTGAGCTAAATCCCCAGCAATAAGACTTTTTTTGTTTGTTTTGTTTTTTGAGACAGGGTCTAGCTGTGTAGTTGAGACTGACCTGCAACTCACTATGTAGCCCAGGCTGGTCTGGAACTCACAGTGATCCTTCTGCCTCAGCCTCCCAAGTGCTGGGATTACAGGCATGTGCCACCACGCCCGGCAGCAATAAGATTTTTAATAGAGTTTTCTTGTTCTCATACTCACCTGAGAATGTTAATGTGTCGAGGTCTAGAAACTTGTCCTTTTTTGGGAGCCAAGGAAACCAAGAGAGTGGTTAAAAAACAGCTTTGCAGCTAGTTGTGGCACAGGCTTCTAATCCCAGCACTCTGGGAGGCTGAGGTAGGAGGATCCCAAGTTTGAGCCCAGCCTGGGCGACTCAGTGACATTGAGACCTGGCTCAAAATAAAAAAGGACTGGGGTCGTAGCTCAGTGTGAAGGTTCTGGGTTCAATCCACAGTACCACACATAACTCCTGCTCCCCCCTCCGAAATCCACCTTTTCTAGAAGCATTGTTAATCACTGAGCGGGGAATTCCAACAAGTTCTTGTCGTTCATATTGGCATACCTTCTCATTTTTTTCCTGCTCATCTATATCCATGACTTGACTGCTTTGATAAATGGAAATGACATCATTTCACCTATTGATCTCTGTCACGGTCTCTGTCGTTTCTCATTATAGGAGCCGGTGTTTGGCATCAAGTGCATTATTAGGTGCGTGATCTAATTTATCTCCACAGCCACCCTCCTTGTTGGGCAGTCATCTGGCTGTGCCCATCTCACCAGAGCTTTCTTAGACTCCTGCTGGGGGCGGCCAGCGGCAGAGCTCTTGTGTCCCCTCAGTAGAGATCTGGCCATCCGGGTAGAGGTGGACTTGAAACTGTTTGGTCAGAGGCAACATAAATCTGCCGGTGAAGTGGGTGGAGGAGGAGGAAGTGGTGATGGACACCTCAGTTTCAGTGCAGCTGCTTTCTGTGCCGAGCGCTGCATCCTTCCTCGCCAACACGTCCTGTGGAAGGAACTCGCGGCAGCTTTGTCAAGGGTGCAAGCAAGGAATTGGCAATGCTGAGGCTGAAGCACCGGATGGAAGCATCCGTGCTCCCAGTCGGGCCGTGCACGCTGTCCCCTCCATGTGGCTTGAGGGGAAGGAAGGACTTTAAGAAACAACACAGTGACTTGGGTCATTGTTGGCGGAGGTTGGTTTTGGAATATTGTGAGTAAGTCTGGTTCAGAGTTTAAGAAAGGCATCCTGACATGATGAATCTCAATTTGAAGAATTTTATTTTAACAGGAGTTTAAATATATTTTTTAAAATATTTCATTAAAATAGGAGTTGTAGCTGGTACTATTAGTGGGGAAAATCCTTTTATTTGTTTTTTTTTTTTCTTTTGTTTTTGAGACAGGTTCTTAATATATAGTTCAGGCTGGCTTTTAACTTACTGTGTGGCCTAAGCTGGCCCTGAACTCATGGCAGTCCTGTTGCCTCAGCCTTCTGAATGCTGGGGTTGCAGGCGTGCGCCACCATACCTGGCAGGAAATCCATCTTGGATAACATGAGAAGCCCTAACTTTAACCACAGTGTTAGAAAGCGGAGTCTGGGCCAGGTGTAGTGGCGCATGTCTGTAATCCCAGCACTTGGGAGGCTGAGGCTGGAGGATCGCTGTGAGTTTGAGGCCAGCCTGGGCTACTACACAGTGAGCTCAAGACCAACCTGAACTACATAGCAAGACTCTGTCTCAAAACAAAAGTGGAGTTGTTTTTTTTTTAATTGAGTTTATTGATACATTTTAGGTATACAGTACAGTTACATTCATTATTGGGATCTTGTACCTAAAAGTGGAGTTTGTATATACAGCTGCTTAGGGTTCTTGCAGCCCTCAGCATCTCTGGGGCCTTGGGACTCGCTTTGTTGAGAAATGCCAACTTTCGGTGATACCAGGGGTCGAACCCTGTATGCTAAACACGTGGTCTAACATTGAGCTACACCCTCTTCCCCTAGACATGCTAACCCAAAGGGCGCAAAGACCAGCTTCCTCTTAGCTTTAACTGGAAAAAAATGGCATTTTTCGGTAGTCGAATAAACTACAGGTGATGA